AGTCAATTCTCAAACGCTAATTAAGGGTAGTTCCAGACAGTTTCTGCCGGATTTTCTTAATTGCGATTATGAGTTCTATATATCCGCAAATGTACGTTTCCATCTGGTCGCATCGGATGAATTAGTTTTATTCAACGTATCGAAGCAAGTCCCGAAAGTGAGGTTTATGTTACCCCTTTGTTTAGGTACATTCTTCTCTGGGACTCGGAAGAATATTTTCTCTTCGTTTTTATGAAAAAGGACGAAGCATTGGTGGATTGAAAATACGTTACTGAGCTCGTAATCATTGTTTATTTCTCTAGGTTGTTATTGCGACGGTACACATGTGTGTGGACATCATGTGGGGATAAGTAAAACTGTAGTTGGACAACCCGCTCACCGCTATGTACCTATACTTACCTTTCTCTAGATGTTATAAAAAGATTCTAATGAATGCCTCTTACCTTAATATGGGTACCTTTACTGAGCTTATGCCAATAAGTGCCTGTCAATGTCAGTGTTCAATAAGTCTAATGTTATCGATGAAGTACCTTCAAAACCTTATCGACATCGATAGGATCAAACGGAGACAATTTCTCCACAGCGTCATTGAAGCTCTTCTCTGAAGGTAGCAACTGAAATTGATTTAAACAATACTACCTATGAATTGGAATGTTTAGACGGAAGAATTATATGCATATGAAACAAAACTGAGTGATTTATGGCTGGGACGAATGAAGGGCAACACTTTAGGAAGGAGAAAACAAATATTGGTGTCCAATACTCAAGTAATTAGTTGCGGGTGTTTAGGTTTCGTCATTTTAGATAGTATCTGCTAGGAGAAAAAGTAATCTAAGAGACGCGCAGAATTGTTTTTTTCATGAATCAGTGATGAACAGAGTCCAAAATTGGAGTGTAAACAAAGGGGTAACATAACCTCACTTTCGGGACTTGCTTCGATACATTGGGTATAACTAATTTATCTAATGCGATATTAGGGATTCACCAACGTACATTTGAGGATTACAGGGTGTACCAAAAGTCCGTCCCACCCCTGCTAACTTTTGAACGAATTGAGCTAGGGTAATGAAACTTTGGGAATGTTCCCATCTTAAAGGGGACCATATTTTTTTTTTTTTTTTTTTTTTGGGGGGGGGGTCAAAATGTTGGTCTCCCCTCAGGGGGGCGCGGGGGGCCCCCAACTTTTTTTTTAAGTGGCAACCCCTATCTCGTGATACATCATTCAAAAGAACATAAAAACTAAGAATTTTGGCGCAAACCGCAGTTCTTAATCATCTTAATTATATCTTAATTTTTGACCGAGTTATGATAGGTCAAAGGTCAAATTTGACCAATTTTCAAAAAATCATAACTCCGGTTCAAATTGCCGCAAAGAAAAAAATAAAGCGGGAAAATTTACCAAATTGTGTCCGCTTTTAAGTAAAAATTGCAGAAATCACTTCGATTTAATTGTAAGGGGGGGGGGGGGCTCGGACCCCCAAATACGTCAATTCAAAGGTCATTCAATTTTCCCGCGAAATAAGCCAATTTCCCCTAGATTTGCCTCCACAATATCTCAGTAAGGTCAAAATCAGTTCAACATTACGTTGGCAAGTCCTCAAATTTCGGAAAAAGTTCAAAAAAACGAAATGTAAGGTGACTAAATTTGAGCGTTTAAGTAGAGTCCCTTTATACCCAGAGTTAAGACAACTCGATCATCAGCTGACTGGCAGCCGGCCTTGGCTGGCCATGGAGGCCGAAACGAGTGCACCCAAACAAACGATATTGAGGGATAAGGATCAGGAATCCTGCGATGTCTGTCACACAAAAACAACAACATCAACAAATTGATCAATTAAAACGAAAATTAGATTGGTTTGTGAATAATTTCTTAATCTATTTTCATTTTAGACCGATGGAAATAACAATTTACTCTTGATAAACCACTATTAGGTAATATTTTCATTATTCTTGTTCACATTCGAGGTACCGCCATCTTGTTGCACTCGTTTCGGCCTCCATGAGCGAGAACCAATCAAAATTGGATTTTTATTTAGGCCACTTTCAGCCCAACCAAAAGTGAGTTGTCTTAATTCTGGGTAGAAAGGGACTCTGAGTTTAAATTTCGTTTTTTTTTTTTAAATTTTTCCCGAAATTTGGGGACTTGCCAACGTAATGTTGAACTGATTTTGACCTTACTGAGATATTGTGGAGGCAAATCTAGGGGAAATTGGCTTATTTCGCGGGAAAATTGAATGACCTTTGAATTGACGTATTTGGGGGTCCGAGCCCCCCCCCCCTTACAATTAAATCGAAGTGATTTCTGCAATTTTTACTTAAAAGCGGACACAATTTGGTAAATTTTCCCGCTTTATTTTTTTCTTTGCGGCAATTTGAACCGGAGTTATGATTTTTTGAAAATTGGTCAAATTTGACCTTTGACCTATCATAACTCGGTCAAAAATTAAGATATAATTAAGATAATTAAGATCTGCGGTTTGCGCCAAAATTCTTAGTTTTTATGTTCTTTTGAATGATGTATCACGAGATGGGGGTTGCCACTTAAAAAAAAAGTTGGGGGCCCCCCGCGCCCCCCCTGAGGGGAGACCAAAATTTTGACCCCCCCCCNAAAAAAAAAAAAAATATGGTCCCCTTTAAGATGGGAACATTCCCAAAGTTTCATTACCCTAGCTCAATTCGTTCAAAAGTTAGCAGGGGTGGGACGGACTTTTGGTACACCCTGTATAGAACTCATAATCGTAAGAAAATCCTTAACGGTCGAAATCCGATTTTTTTTTTAAAATTAAGTATTTGAAAATAACATAATAAATGGAAATTTCTCCAGTAAGTGGACTGTGAAATTATGTACATCCAGCTATTCCTCATCATTTACAAATCTGAGTGTTACGTCAAAAATTTTGAAATCGATGCAGCTCGAATACAAAATGGTGTATTAAAATGGAAGAACATTTTTGCCTATACATATGCGTATAGGGCCCGCGAAGCGCCCTCCCGGGGTTGGGCCGCGTAGCGGTCAGGGGGCAGGGCCCCCTAGTAGTTGATACAGCCGGATATACGAACGAAGCGTACCAGGCAACGGCTGACGGCACTGGCAAGACTGGCATTTCCAATGTCTCGGTACATGTTGCCGGTACACTGGCTGGGTTGCCTATCGTCTCGCCTGAAGGAACTCTAGTCTCGCCGAAAGAGGTTGTTGCAAAAACGCCGATTTTGCCCCCCCCCCCTGGATTTGGCCCAAACTTTGCTCAGATGTTGCACTAAGTGTCCCCGATGCTTGGGTAAAATTTCAGCCCCCTCGGATAATTAGGGGGGAGGGGGCAGGGGGGCAAAGTTGCAATTTTTTTAAAACTTTAAAAATCGATATCTCGCGAACGGTTTGAGTGTAAGTGTTGCGGTTTGCGCTAAAAAACGTCAAAAAATATCCTCTACAAGAATATAAATGCTGTTTGCAAGGTTGCGTAATTTATCGCGGTCATAAATCGATTTTTTCGATTTTGAAGGTTCGACTTTTTTTCGTTTTGCGTCTCTCCTCTCTTTGGAATCGTTGCTACGTGAATAAAAACCTGTTGAGGTGATTCTCCATAAAATTCTGCATCTACTACACTTTGCTTGATCTTGGGGAAACGATTCGTTCGTGAGTTATAGCGATTTTTCTGCGCGTTATCGGTTACGCGCGGGCGGCTTATCGGCGCGGCGGCGCTCTATCCCGCGCGGGCAAGGCAGAGGTTGTTTCACCGCTAGGGCCTTATATTCATGCTGTAGGCTGTAATTATCGATATTTTCTCCTCCCCCCACCCTTCCCCTGCAATAAATATTTGTTTAATACTTCGTTATACAGGGTATCCCAGACCACCCGTAACAGGTCTTTTTCTCGGTTGGTTCAGGTAGTACGAAGTGGGGGGCCGCGGGATTGAATAGGGAGTTGACCTCAAGGAATCCGAATTTCATGGTCCTGATGCCCCCCTAGCCACCCTCGGGGGATAAAAGGGGGAGGCACAATGTCTCCCGGCTTTGGGGATCGTGACCCCCTCTTTACCTCCCAAGGGGGGCATGGGGGGCATCGGGACCATGTAATTCGGATTCCTTGGGGTCAACTCCCTATTCAATCCCGCGGCCCCCCACTTCGTACTACCTGAACCAACCGAGAGAAAGACCTGTTACGGGTGGACTGGGATACCCTGTATAACGAAGTATTAAACAAATATTTATTGCAGGGGAAGGGTGGGGGGAGGAGAAAATATCGATAATTACAGCCTACAGCATGAATATAAGGCCCTAGCGGTGAAACAACCTCTGCCTTGCCCGCGCGGGATAGAGCGCCGCCGCGCCGATAAGCCGCCCGCGCGTAACCGATAACGCGCAGAAAAATCGCTATAACTCACGAACGAATCGTTTCCCCATGATCAAGCAAAGTGTAGTAGATGCAGAATTTTATGGAGGATCACCTCAACAGGTATTTATTCACGTAGCAACGATTCCAAAGAGAGGAGAGACGCAAAACGAAAAAAAGTCGAACCTTTAAAATCGAAAAAATCGATTTATGACCGCGATAAATTACGCAACCTTGCAAACAGCATTAATATTCTTGTAGAGAATATTTTTTGACGTTTTTTAGCGCAAACCGCAACACTTACACTCAAACCGTTCGCGAGATATCGATTTTTAAAGTTTTAAAAAAATTGCAACTTTGCCCCCCTGCTCCCTCCCCCCTAATTATCCGAGGGGGCTGAAATTTTACCCAAGCATCGGGGACACTTAGTACAACATCTGAGCAAATTTTGGGCCAAATCCAGGGGGGGGGGCCAAAATCGGCGTTTTTGGAACAACCTCTTTCCTATTGCGCGGTCTAGATTGTATTATACGTCAATGACTAAAACGGTCTATTGGTCAAAATTTGAGGGGAATCATGGTTGGTATTTTAAAATCGCCCTGAGTACGGTTGACACAGCATATTTTCTGACATAATTCTCCATTCAAGATGTACTTATAACTTTTCTTACCTGTGTCTCTTTTTACGAGAAAGTTTTTCTGAATTTTAGTTGCGATTAAACTGTGTTGAGCCATCTCCATTCCTGGTTCTGTTGCCACCGGTTCTCCATCCGCGGACCACTTATAAATTATGTCCGAACTTGCATACGCAACTGTAGATTCAGAAGATAATATTAATCACATGATAAAAAAGTCAAAGTCGCTCTTTGAGTTAGAGGCACACTAGGTATAACTTCGAGTTTCAGAATGAGGCTTTCAATTAACCCTCACCTGTGGTCGATCTAACTCGCAAACCAAGTGATTCAGCTAGTTGACGACTCCAAGTCTCGAACCAAAATAAAGGTATTGGGTGCAGGGTCCAGGGTGCTGGATTAGGGTTCAGCTTATTTTAGAAAGTCCAAAATTTGATTACGTCCACCCGTCAATCGATGACTTCTTCCTAAAAAACAAACTTAAAACATGATCCGAAGATTTTGCGACGATTTTAACCCGATAAGCTCAATCCTATCAAAGTTACCTAGCGCATGAGCCTCATTTTCGGGCTCAGGTCCTAGTAAGATAAGGGCTTTAGGAGAAAATTTCCCAAAAACTTTTTGTTGAGTGATTCTTAAGTATTTTTGGACACTCAGTCAGAATTTTACATTTGTGTAAAGATATTCCCACCACTAAAGCCGCCATTTAAGAAAAGTATGATTCGAAAATGGCCTAAAATTCCGTTTTTGGCAAATATCTTGCTTATTCTTTTATTTTTCAACCATTAAAGTCATTTGAGAAGTAAAATGAATAAATTTTGAAGATAAACTTTTATAATGAAAATATTTTGTGTGAAAAATTGTTTATATGACTGAAATTAAATCCGCTAGAGCGCGCTGAAAAACCCACCGAAGTTCAAATTTCGCGTTCCTTGCGCTTTTTTCGAGAATAACTTTTCTCAGAAGCCGGCCAGGTTGGCCTAGTGGTCAGCGCGTCTGACTCTAGGTCAATAGGTCCCGGGTTCGAATCCAGGTGGTGGCTTCTAAATTTCACGGAATTGACGAGTAGATCTGCTGAAACAAATTCTCCTCGGCCCTAATCCCTGAAAATTGGAAAAGCCTGGAGCATGGAGATCCGATGTCTACGGACAGTAAACATTGTCTAAAATTGGCTGAAGGTGGTAGACACGAAGCCATTAAACCAGCAGAAATAAGAAAAACTTTTCTCAGAGCGACGCTACTGGAAATGTGTTCATTTCTGAACTTATAGTGCAGTGAAATTACTGTCAGAAGGTAGGTACTTTGTATGATTTTGTTTAATTTTGATCGTCATTGAAGAGTTCTAGAAGTCGCAGGATATAAAAATATGAACTCATCATTGACAGCGTCCCGGGGCCTTCTAACTATTACCTACTTGCATATCACAATCCCTCAGAGGGCGAGTCAAAAAATATCAACTTTCAAATTTCAAAATTATTTAGAGGGGGAAAAGTTCCGTCTTTGTACCAAACTGATAAGAGTCGTAACATTCTTCGGGGGTAAGAAAAAAAAAAACGAGCAGTGAACTCCAACACAATGTGTTGATAAGGCACGTCATTGACTCGCGTACCTACATCAACCTCATTATTTTCCATTTACAGAGATTTCAATGTAAGTAAGCAGCACATGAAGAGAATTCACGACCCAAACACTGCGAGGTCAAACACGCACCTCGGCGAGACCGTGTATTGTGAATGCAGAAGGCTTTCTGCATTCACAAACGAACGATTCGAACGATTTTAAGGCCTTGTCTCGACGGCGCGACCGTCGAAGGCACCTACTTTGTGTAATTGTTGAAGGAAGGAAGTGTTGCAAAAATGTTTCACTTATAAGTGAAAATTTCAAGGTTAGAAACCTGAGACCTCGAACAGGTGTTTACCTTCGTGTTCTGAATTGCTAAATGTTGATTACACGTGAAGCGAGAGTTTACTACGGGTGTTTTATTTCTGAGCAGTTATTATCCCATCCCATCCCACCTATAAAAGTTACCCGACCTATGTCAGCAATTCTTTCGTTCACGATAACTATCGTTAGATTTACGCTAGCTTCTTCAAATTTTGCAATTTTGGTCTTATGAAGAACTGTATAAATTTTCGGTTAAATCGCATTTACCGTTTACTTATAAACGGTAATTAACGTAAGTGCCCTACTTACGCTGTTTTCCACTAAATAGTTTTTATAAAAGTTCCATTCCTTGGTTTCCTTGGTAACCTTTGTTTGCTATCAGCTGATGTTTTATTTCAACTTTTTTTTTCTTTTTTTTCCATTTTTTTTTTCTTTCTTTTTTTAATAAATCATCGCTAGGTTAGTTCTAATTTTTTTGCCAGCATTAATTCTACCTCCCCTTCCACCCACAGCTAATTTTTCTAGCTCCATCATCCTCTCCCCACAACTCATTTTTCTATCGATTTTATCATTTTTTTTGTATGGCATGTCTTGCTCCCCTACCACCATTTTTTCGGGGTTGTAGATATTTTAGCGGCCTCTAGACCCGTGACTTTAGTGACGGGCATTTCGCTAGTTTAGAAATATTTGTATACATTTCAGTATCAATTTTATATTTTCGTTTGTAGTATATCACTACAGCAGGAAAATAAAATTTTCTCGAATATATTTTCTTTTTGTCCATATCTGTGTTATGTTGATGTTTTTTTCCCTGCTAAAAATGAGTGTAATGTTAGCATATTGATAGCAATGTGCTAGTATTAAGTTTTCAAGCATATTACTGAGTAACGTAATGTTAGCAATATGTCGGTACTATACCAGATATGTGAGAATTAAGTTCGTTAGTGATACACTAAATGATTATATCCTAGCCATACCTATGTGTGTTATATGTTAGCATTAAGTTGGTCAGCATTATACTAGTATTACACTCAGCAGTGCGTAATGCTAAGCACATACGAGTTATATGTTAGCATTAAGCGCTGGTCAGCATTATACTAGTATTATACTCAGCAGTGTAATGCTTACCATATACGAGTCATTTGTTAGCATTAACTAAGTCAACAATAAACGAGTATTACACTCAAAAGTGTAATGCTAAGCATATACGAGTTATATGTCAGCATTAAGTTGATCGGGTAGGTAGGTATTAATCCAGAGTCATAGAATAATAACTAGCTGACGAAGCTAGCGAAGCTATTTATTATTCTATGCCAGAGTGTTATACTACTTAGGGGTTATGTATGGGGTAGTGTTACAATGAGTTATGTATTGACATTAAATTATAGGTTCATACTATTAATAACTAGGGGGTGCGCCCCCTGACCGCAACGCGACCCAAACCCCCAACGACGCTTCACGCCCTCTAAGGTCCGCTTCACGAACCCCTCGTGGGTTAATGCAAATAAAGTAAGCTCATCCATAGGGACTAAGTATATCTTATCAGTTGCCAAAAGCGATTTTCCAAACTACGGAAGGAAATGAAATACAGGGTTATTCAAAAGTCACCTACCACCCCTGTACCTTTTTCCGTAATTGAGATAGAAGTTTGAAACTTTGGCAATGTTCCTCGGTCTAAAGTAGCAACTTTTTGGTCTCCCCAAGATTTTAGGGGGCGGGGGCTAACTTTTTTTTCTTCAAATGGCAACTCCCTTTTTGATACCTCATTCGAAAGATGATAAAAAAAGAAAATTTCTGGCGCAAACCGCAGGTCAAAATGTTGATTTTTGACAAAGCCGGTTAAAGTTCAAAATGGCGGCAAATTGGCATTTCCGTTTTTTATCGGCGGATTGATCTGAAACTCAAGATCATCGGGTTTTTCGGGACGAGAAATTCAACTCCGGCATTAGTTCTCCAGAAAAGTGAGTCATTTTCAAAATGGCGGCGGTTAAAATCGCGGCTTAGAGCGGGAAGTGGATATATAGGCTTCTTATCGTTAGATTTGTATGAGACTTGGTAACCGGGGGTATTTCGGCACGAGAAGAACGAATCTCTCATTGGGATTTTGAAATTTCGAAAAACTTTAAAAGGGCGGCGAAAAAATTACGGGAAATCCATATCACCGGCCATAACACCGATTTTTCCGAAAAAAAATTTAGCCCCCGCCCCCCTTGGGGGGCGCCCCTCAAAATTTTGGGGGGACCAAAAAGTTGTTACTTTAGACCGAGGAACATTGCCAAAGTTTCAAACTTCTCTCTCAATTAGGGAAAAAGTTACAGGGGTGGTAGGTGACTTTTGGATAACCGCATGTATTTTATTCTACCTCTCCTTCTCTATTGCTACTAACTAACTAATGCTAATGGGACTGAGTCCTTATGTTTTTTCCTGTTCCTCTCACTTTGTATTTTCCTTTAGTTTTGGTTTTCCTTTGTCTTTTCCTATTTGGGTTGGTTTTATTTTAATAGTAAGTCTTTTTCTTGCTTGGTTCCTTTGGGGATTACTTTGATCTTAATTTCTTTTATAGTAGTTATTGAAACGATCAGAGGACTGATTCGGCCCTGATCTTTAAGAATCCGTCTGATGTGTATGTATAAGCCACTTTTACAGCGCGCTAGGGCGCTCTGCGACGCCTACTTTCCACAGGAATCTGTCATGGTAGAGATCTTCCGGAAGCTGGCATCTCTCCATCTCTTCACGGATGCCCTCTACCCACCGTTTGGCTGAACGCCCTCTTCGTCGCCTACCTAGATGGACCCACTCCAACACCTTCTTCGGCAACCTGGTATCAGCCATTCTCTGCACATGCCCATACCATACCAATTGCTTGGTCATGATATCGTGCACAATCGTCCGCTCAACGCCCATTATCTCTCGGACACGTTCATTTCGTTCCGTCTGATACCTATCTAATACAATTTCGGGCCCCTAGCCTATTTCGGGCCTATAATTAATGGAATCCCTATCGCTCTGTTATCTATAAAGACATTAAATCTCTGTCTACAGTTGGCTATAGACCTCTGAGAAGAGGTATAAGCCATTAAACCTGCAAAAAAAAAAACCCTGCCGCTTTTTCCGTGGGATTGCCGGCAAGTAGGGGACGGTTCTTTTTGTAGTCCGCGCATTTACCGCGGCATGAGCGTATTTTCCGAAGGGTAGTGTCACGTTGGGGAATGAAATCATTTACCCTACCCCTCTTGCCACAGATATGTTTCAAGAAACAGTTCCCCTTGGCTGCGCAACTCCTACCCCCCCCCCTC